CCCCAAAACCCCAAAACCCCAAAACCCCGAGATGTTGAGTTAACAAGAATTATGAAATTAAGAATATTAGATATATTTGATATTATCACTTCGCTTTTTATTTGAATGAAGTTGATAGTTTGATTAAGCTAGTTTAAGGCATTACTTCAGAGGATAGCATTTCAAATTGTGGATTTTTACTAAATCTTTTTGAATCTTTTTTCTATAATTCTGGGGTGTTAGAATTTGAGTTATGAGCAAGTTTATTTAGAGCTTTATGGCTATCAATGGCTCCCACTTCGGTGTTCTAGAAATGAGTTGTAGTCACTGCAATGTTACTTGTTCTTATACTTTAAAGATTCAACAACTTCTAACTGTCTCCGTGACTTGGAATAAATGAACTGTGATTAGCCTGAGTAGATCCTCTATTCTCTGCAAAGGACATCTTGGGAATATTTTGTTCATCAAATGCAACCTTTTTATCCTGCTGTTTATTTCCTCTCATTGTCAATAGCATAATAAGTGCGATAGCTGTGCAGAATATAAACAGACATATCAAGTAGAATTAAGGATAATCCTAGTCTGGGTAAGTCTTCTGATAAAGAATAAGCTTGATACTTGACTAAGCCATTCCAGTCTGGTTGTATTCATTGTATCCACTTATTGTTAAATTGAATTGATTAAATTGCAAGGCTCCGCCTTAATTCTTTCCTTTCTTTATTCTAGTAGCTTGTGAAGAATATTGCTTCATATTGATTTAAAAACTTGGCTTCAATACTGTTCTGACAATGAAAAGCTAGGTATTACAAATAAATGATACAACCAGTTCATCTTTTTCCTACTCAACTAAATAGCTTTCCTCATTTAATGAAATGCAATTTTGATTTTAGGTGACTTTAATACTTCTGAACAGCTTTGACCTACTAGAAGCGAAGAAAGATACTATTGTCAAATACACATCATAAGATGATTTATAAGCCTAGGTAGTAGTAAGGAATGAATACCCATATTGATTATGAGCAATCTCATTGTTGAACTGATCAAAAGTCTGCCTAATTATTCGCTTGGAAATGGGTTCTAAGGTTTTCGAAAAGAATGGGAAGATTTCACCTCTTTGGCAAAGATCTACTTTGAAATTAAAGATGAAAATGCCTTAGCTAGTCAAAATGTGTATCTCATTAGGCCAGTTGCCTGCAACTGTAAAGACCTAGAGATTATATAAGAGGTCTTAACCAAATGGCTAGTCTGGGAAATATTCTATTTATCTGAGATCGAATTCTTTAATGATTTATAGTGAATCCAAGTCATAGATGTAGAAGCCAAAGAGCTAATCGACCAGAATCATCAGATCAGAGTTTGGAATACTCATAAGCTACTGTATCTTGAATACATTTCTGTCCTCAAACATAGCACTGAGAACTTTTAGGTCATTGAATGTAACTAAGTTTAATTCAATGTCAGCAGTAAGGTTGCAAACGTAAAAAATGTTGGAGGTAGAAGCTGGGACTTCAAGTGAAATTCCTATTGTGACACCAACTTTTGTTGGTGTGTTCGGATCAAATGTTACATTGGATCTGTCAATGTCAATAACTCTGTAAGGAATCTTATTGGAGCCATCAAGAACCTAAATTGTGAATTTTGTTTAATTATAGATTCTGATTTAAGCTAGTTTGATATTCAAAGTGTTCTCAATTTTGCATTCGTAGATTGCCAGGTATAAAGAGTAGTCTGGAGCAACCCAATCTTCAGGAAAGAAGCATTCATAAATGTTAATATATCCTTCTATATTGCAACCAAGCTTGTCAATCATAGTATATTCCATTTGAGATTTTAAGGCCTGTCCATTGATACTATCCAAATCACTTCCATCAGTGGTTTGCAATACTTGAATAGTAATCATGTTCAATGTGTCAAACATAATGAAGACATTTCCTAGAGTAAATGATTTCACTATTTGTCTATCTTAAGTCACCTGCTCAATGTAAAAGTTATATATCGTAGATTAAGTATTATCCACTATGCCATCATCAACACAGTCTTGCACGTTATTATTTCTGTCAAAGAATTAGCAGTTCACATGATAACTAATGTTAAATCCCTCGAGCAAATTGTCGACCATTAGCATCAGATCTTATTGGTTTTCCTACTGCTAAGATCCATAGCTAAAAAATATCTCTTTGGAGTGAGATTCATGTGTAGTAATTGCTATGCCCTGGTTCTGGGTCTGTATTTTAAGATTAATCACATTGCCATAATCCTGGGTTTGTCCGTTTGGAAACAAAGATTAGGCCTTGATTTTAATCATAGCTAACTAGAATGGCTTATCTCGCTCAATACCCTAATCATCTACATAAGATTTATGCCAAGAGCACTAGTCAAATAAATTGGTTTTGGTCAATACATCATCCTTAATGATGATAAAATTGAATAGTTGTACATTGCTCAATGAAATTTAAGCATCTGTAATCAAAACCATGCTTGTGTGCTGATCGTTTCCAGTAAGAACTACGGTTCTATTTGAACTACCTTCAAATAGTTCAGTGAAATCTTGAATCATTATCAGGCTGTTATGTTGATAGTCAAACAAGGAATAAATGAAAATCATTATCTTTTATTGTCCATGGTAATCAGGATCCATAAGTAAAAGAGCTATAAAATCTTGATAATAAGCGGAATGTATAACTTGCCCTTATCTAGGAGACTTTTCAGCAAAGTAACTGAATCTAAAGTTTTGATATTCTCCATAGAGAGGCAATTTAGTCCTGTATTGCAAATCAATGAAGTTCTTGATGTCATAGACAAGAACTTAATTAATACCATAGTATATGATAAAATAGTTGCCATGGATGTCCATCTCATGGGGCTTGTACACTTCATCATCCAATGGCTTTGACTTTAGTCTTTAGAATACATACTCATTGTTTAACTGGACAACTTAGTAGATATTTAGAATTGAATTTGCTTATAAAGCGAATATAAATCCATCACTAGATAATGCTACTTGACTGACTTAGGTTAACTGATCAACTTTAACTGTAGCATTAGCAATTATATCAAAAGTAGTCTCTGTATAGTTTACTTGAAAGTATATGAGAATTTATTCTAATTAATCTGGCATTTAACCTAATATAATCCCGCTATTAACATGACTGTTGAATTTGTAAATTTAAAGATCGCTTAGATTGTAATTTTAAAGATTGATTGCTCCTCTATAAGATGATTCCCAAACTAATTCACTTTGAATAGAGAAGAAATGAACTTCATTATCAGAATCAACCCATTCTTGATCTACTATCTATGCTATTACAAACAGAGTTCTAGAAGCAGTATCTGAATTGGCATATAAAATAAAGAGCGAAGGCATTGTTATGCTATTAAGTAAGACAAGGGTGTTAGTAGACATAACTAGTTTGGAGGCAGTTATGATTTGGTTCTCATTATCAATGCAAATTAAAATAACTGGATCTGATTCATCATCATAGTCTTAGAGATCTGGGAAGATAAAGCTTTTCCAGCAGCTAAGGTTAGTGAAGTCCGCTTCAAAAGTCTGCTTGATCTCTTAGTTTATAATGTCAAAGAAGCAGTATCCTGCCTCACAGTCATCTGTGTTATTAGTTTCAAAGCTCACATTGAAATTAGGTCCATTGAATAAGTCACTCACTCTGTATGAGAAACTGTCATCTCCACAATTATAGAAGACTGACTAATCTTCACTTTGATCTCCAGATCTTATTACTGAGGTGAAGTCAGCTTCTACAAATGTCACATTGAATAGAGAGTTTATCGATTGATATGGATTGCTAATGGTTAGATTTACCTAGAATATATTCTACTTAAATGTATTAACCCAAGTGTAGTTAGTAGCATTCAAAGTCAGTTTAAAATCAAAGAATGTAGTAATGTTAAGTCTCCTCTCATCTCTGAATATCAAGTTATTCTGATAGAAATTAGGGAAGTAGAAATAGTTTGTTCTACTTTTCTATGGCAATACATAGTTATACTTGGCTATACTATAGTGTGAAGCATTTCTGTTGTACAGTCTAAGGACCTATTAATCAGCTTCAACGTTATACATAAGATGAACTATTACATTCTTGTTAAAGGTCATAGTCTTTAATCCAATGTAAGCTGGCGATTCATTTGGCAAGGAATATTACTTGAAGATATAGATATTATAGGGATCATCGATATTTATCTCAACGACGCCTGGAGGTGAGCTCATAGTTATAAAGAAAAAGTCTGAGTCCTAGGGATTGTTATATAATGATAAGGCATTGTCCATTTCTATGAGTTGAGATGTGTTTTGAGAATGGCAATCAATTTGAGCATAGAAAAAAGAAACAACTTCAGGCTCAAAAAGTTATTCTGTGAACTAACACACTAGGACACCATAATTATCAAATATAATACCTATCATCATAGGCTAATAACTTATTATACCAAAGTTTATAACTGTATCTTACTGATACATTGTGTCATATTTAATCCAAAACTTAATACCCATAGTGCCTTGCAAATTGTATTGCTGTTGAGATTTATTTTTTTGCATGACAAGAAACTCTGAAATATTAACTCTAGCTATGACTTAAAGATAATAAGGATTAAAGAAATCTCTTCTCATATTTGAAAGAAATATGGCGGATATGGATTTGTCTTGAGTGTGCTCGAAGCCAATAAATTTGATTCCAGCAACAAAATCTACAAATACAGCTGTCTGTCTAAACTGATTATAATATGCTTCAGCAGCAGAATCATTATTGATGTCAACATAAACATTAGTATACAAATAATAATCTACATCCCCTGAGGTATCATAAATCTCACTTCTACAAAATATAAGTAGGGCCTTTTAATCAACATTGTTCACAGGAAACTAAAGGTAAGTCAAGTCATGACATCCATCGTTTATATAACTACTATTTAGAGTTATCATTTTCTTGCCAGTCATCACCCCAGAACCATAGTCAGATACATCATATTTATAGATTGATAGATTTCTGTCTATCATATATAATGTCAGTGTAGTTCCATTAAGCTCTGGTACAAGAATCGATGATCCCTGCATCGGATCATTTTAGCTTGATTATGTCTATTAATTGCTTTTTATAGGGATGGAAGCAACATTTTCAAAAGGAGGGGTAAGTTAAATAAGTATCTTATAGAAGGGCTGATCAAAGTACCAAGTCCCATTTATATCTGTAATTTCATAATCATAATCTAGCAGAGGACCTGAGAAATACTGCTGCAGCTCGAATTCCTAAGTCTCATAGAGCTCTATTAAATAGTTTGAGAAATTCTGAATTTATATAATTTGTTGATCTTTAGTCGACATTTGATTCTGGTACATATTGAGATTCCCATTTAATAATAAGGTACGGTTTTACCCTAGATGCTAGCAAAGAGCAAATTTAATGGAAATTAGAATGAGAACTTAAAGGTATACTCTCATTTTTGGCAATTTTATTATAATAATAATCCTATAAATCCAATACTTATAATTATATCTATTGTTTGATGCTTTACCAAACGGGGTTTTGGGGTTTTGGGGTTTTGGGG